AGCTGTAGCCCACACTAGTCTACCTTTCCTGAACTGAGCATTGATATTATGACATTAGATTGCATTGACTGGGCTTATAAGAACCAGCACCTACTGCCTCAACTCTATAGTTTTTTTTATTGTAGATCTTGGAGACATATTTAAGGACATAGTACACTTTCCATGCTGCGTAATTCCTTTTTAAGGACCCACAGTAATTAGCCAACAAATATTTATTGAACACTTATATGCCAGATAGGGTGCTAGTATTAGGAAAAAAGCAGTGAACAAAGAAATCACATGAATGAGTCTTACAATACAAAGAAGAGAAATTATTTACTTAGTTCTCTATGTCAGGCAAAGCTGTCAATCTCCTGAGCAACTTTCCTTCTTTACAATGCCTACTAGGAAGCTCAGAGCCAATTTTTGGACTCGCCTCTCACAATTGCACAGGACCTCATGAAATGAATTGTTGTACAGACCATACCCCTGGCTTCATGTTATTTTCCCCTTTGATCATTTTTCTTGTGTTTATCTCTGTGGGCTACCTCCCATCCCTGCTATTTTTTTTTTTTGAATGGGAGGTTATAATTAAATAATAATAAAAGAGCCCAGCAGATCAGGGGTTATGAGTGAGCAGCCCAATCAGTGTTAGTGTGAGATAATGAGAAATACACATATATTGGTCTCTGTCCTTGGTTCCCGGCACAGGACTCCTAAAACCCTTGCAATTTCCTAAGTGATAAGAGTACTAGGAGCATCTCTTGTTCTAATGAGGTGACTCTGGGTGCGCTTCTGAGTGGCTCCTGGATAAGGGCTGGTCACCAGAAAGACAAGCCATATTAGAAACTTAGAATTCTCAGCCCCAGCCCCCATCTTCCAGTAAGGGAAATGGAGTTAATCATTGGTCATGACAACATGAGAAGCCTCCATACATTCCAACAGTAGGGGGTTCAAAGAACTCCTCGCCAGTGAACATGTGTTGGTGCTGGGAGAGTGGTGAGCCCAGAGAGGGTGTGCAAACTCCGTGCCCCTTCCCACATACCTTGCCCTGTGCATCTCTTCCATCTGGCTGTTCACCCATATACTTTATCGTATCCTTTTACGATAAACCGATAAACGTAAGTAAACTCCTGATTTCTGTGATCCGTTCTAGCAAATTAAGTGAACCCGAGGAGGGGGTCGTGGGAAACCTCTTACTTAGGACCGATTGGTCAGAATCCCAGGTGGCAATCTGGATTTGCAATTGGCATCAGAAGTGGGGGGCAGTCTAGTGGGACTGAGCCCTTAACCTGTGGGATCTGACACTATCTCCAGGCAAATAGTGTCAGAATTGAGTAAAGTTGTTGGACACCCAGCAGGTGCCACAGAATTGCTTGGTGCTGGGGAAAGAATCCACATTTTTGGTGACCTGGAGTGTCAGGAGTGAAGTGAGTAGCATAGTGTTCTGTGGAGGAGAAAGACACAGGTGGGAACCTGTGGGTTCTTCTCATCCAGCTGGTGATAAATAAAGCCAGGGAGAGGTGTGAGCGGTGAGGTCACCGGTGCTGATGTAGAGCCCGGGCTGGAGTTCCTCAGGATGACTGGTGGCTACGTACTAGAATTTGAAGGTGGGAACTCAAAAGAGTTCCTTCACAGCCGTCAGACGATTCAGGCTATTTCCTTTTTTGACAGTTAAGGCAAGCCTCTCTTCCCCCCACCCCAAACTTGACAATTTCATTTCAGCTTTTAAACTCAATTAAGCAGAGCAGTTACCTTTGGAGGTTCGTAGGCTCTGTAGTGGGTTCATGAGTATTCATTATATTATTTAAAATCATATAGAAAAGGAAAGGGCCACCCTTGGACTAATGACAACAGTGTGTTTTAAATCAAGGATTATGATTAATCCAATTCTGTGCACTCAAGTTCCCCTGACAATGCATATTCGCTGAAACGATGACTGACTGAATCTATCTTGGTGCCGGAGAGGGGGAGCAGGCGTTCCCCAGGGGGCAATCTTGTGGGTCCACAGTGACACAGACAGGCCTGGATGGAAACTGGCCGGGTAAGCCAGCCTTACATCTTTTCTCGACAGACTAAGGAGGAAGGTCTGGGAAGATCTCTCTGCCACATCCCACAGGCTGGGCCCTGGGCCTACAGCACCTCAGAACGTTTGGCCTCCTATCTGTCCAGGATTAGGTAAATGCCACAGCAAGTTTCCAACAGCAGTTTCCTTTCCACAGCCCAGACCTCAGAGAATGGACTGAGGAGCCTCGTGGAAAAGACTGAATTGCAATAAACTCAACAGTGAGCTGAAATTAAGGACAGCCCTGTGGCCTGACTCCTCTGGCAACGAAATTATGTGACTTCTTATAGGTCTGGGTCATTACTATGCTAACGGGATAAGTGGCTTAAAATGAAAGGACATCCTGAACCCACGTGGGAAGACAGGCATTATCAAGTCTTTGGGTGTCATTAGTTGTGACGAAGGCTGGAATTAATCATGACGCTGTGCAAAACGGTTTAAACATTTGCAAGCAAGGAGAGGGTGGAGATGCTGGCACCTGTAAATTGATGCCAGCTGAGCACTCACTGGGCGGGGTGGGGGTGGTGGTGGGGTGTCCAGCAAATGGATGTACTATTTTGCCAACTTCAGGAAAGTGTTACAGAATGGCAGACAAAACTGTTTCTATGCAAACAATTGTTTAGAAAAGGGTCCTTACAGCAAATAACTGCAATTCGGGGGCTTTCTGAGTAACCACAAAGCCAGGGACTAAATTTGAAATATTCGACATTATTTTTCTTGGAACCAGGCTGAATACTAACGTACAGGTTTTCTTGCCTCCCTAACTCCCTCTCTTCCACCAGTCTTTTAATGTGTCAATATCACTTCAGTTTCGTGGGGGAAGGGTAGAGGGAAAAAGGGAGAGGGGCAGAGTACGGGGAAGGGCAGTGGGTGGGCCCAGAAATGGAGAGATGGGAAGTCACTCCATTAAACTATCATCTTCGTCTGTAAACAGGGATTAAAAATGTCTGTCTGTCCTGACACGCTCCCCGGGGAAATGCCATGCTGCTTGAGAAAGCTGTGAATAAAATTCGATCTCTACTCTCCCTCCCTCTATTTGCATAAAATCTGTCCCAGAAACGTCTCACCCTTACATTTTATCAGAACCACGGGGGGCGGGGAATATTATCTGAACTCTACCCGTGGCATTATGGATTTTTCTGGAAGACAAGGCTAGGTCAAGTTCTTGGAACATTTTTCTACCCTGAAAACTCATATGAATTGTCACTTCCTAAGACTCCTTGCACTCCGAAGATTCGTACTTCAGTAAGACTCACTGAAGAATAATGGCGCAAACAACATTTTTTAATTTCGAAGAATCTTGCTGAGAAAGGCTGTCCCAAATAGTACAAACATAAATTCGCAGTAACTTTGTCAAATTTCTAAAAACTCCATCAGGACAGGAGGCAGCAAAACGTCTCCAGAAGATCAGTCTGTTACCAGCGGCCCGTGAGCTTCAAGACGGGTCGCAGTTCATAGCGATTCAGCCCAGGACTCAAGTGGGGTGTAATCATCTGGGCGTCTAGCTCCCCATCACCGTTCAATTACTGGAGGCTATTATAATTGTCCCCATTTTGCGGATGAAATTGAGCTACGGCTTAGTCTGTTTTGGTGAGAGATTGAGAGAGAAAGAGAGAGGAGGAGGGGAGGGAGGGCTGTTCCTCATTAACCTAAAAAAAAAAGTACTTAAACCTTAACTTAAAAAATGATCTACTTCCAAAAACTGCGTTTCCTTTAGGGTGAAATCGTTTGATCTCATCTCTAACACCAAGAAGCAAAAGAAGTATTTTACTGTAAATTGGAACAAAGAGTCACCCCCGGCCCCCCATCACCCCAATTCCCGAGGACGTCAGTCACAGCGGACGCGTCATTACGATCGGAGGTGGGGAGAGCGTCTGCTGGGGGCTAATAAAACCGAAGAGGCCCTCTCCATAGGTGGAGTAGAGCGGGGAGAAGACGTCCCACTGGCACACACCTCCGGAAAACTGAAGCTTCTTTGACCCAGGGGTCAGAAAGATTTATTACTTCCTCGGTGAGGGAGAAGCCTCAGGCCAGCTGGAAGGGACGAGCCGGGAGTGGGAAGCCTGAGAGCCGCGCTCGGCCTCCTCGGAGCGCTCCGGGGCGCGGGTGCGTCCTCGGTCCCCGGACAGGCCCGGCTGTGCCGATCCCGGGGGGAGAGCGGAGTGGGAGGCCCCTGGGGGATTTCTGCCCAAACTTTATCACCAACTCTTTCCGAGAGCAAAACTGTGCGGTTGAGCCCGGTAGCGGCACGGAGAATCCAAGTTTCCCAGAGGTCGGGACGCCCGAGCGCTCCCAACCCCGCGTCCGTACCCTGGCGCTTGGCGCACGGATTGCTACGGCCTACGCCGCGCGGACGGCGGCCCAAGCGGCGCCGCTGTGAATCGGAACCCGCATCTCCAACCCCCAAGGTGGCGGCGGCGGGAGCTGGGCGCTGCGAGGCGGGGGCGGGCGCGGGACGCGCGGAGGAGGAGGGCAGCGCGCCGAAGGGGAGGAGCCGCAGCGACAGACGGCGGCGCGCACCAACCCGGCGCCGGCTGGCAGGAGCCGCGCAGAGGCTGGCCGGAGCGCGTTGCAGCCGCTCCGCGTAGGGAGAGTCGGGTAGCAGCATCCTCCCCGGCGCCGGCTTTCGCGCGGCGGCGGCGGCGGCGGCGGCGGCGGCGGGGTGTTCTCTGCCCCGGTGCCTCGTTGACCTGAAGAGGCTGGTGCCGCGGGGGAGGCGGGCAAGGGAGCGCTGCGGACCCCGGCTCCTTTGCCTAGAGCGGTGTGTGTGAGTGTAGGGGGTTTCCGGGCCAGTCGGAGGCTGAGGAGCGGCGGGGGCTGCCGGCAATGCCCGCCCGGGCATCCT